TCATATGCTAAAAAATTGCTGTAACTTGAAATTAATTAAGTAACTTAGTTAAGAACTTATAATAAGTCATTTGTCTTTTTTAACCTTTCTTTTTCTTAGAAATTAATTTCAGGTTTGATAGTTTTGGAGGGAGTAAATTTTTTTTTGTATTAAAAGATTAATAAACAATTAGAAGAAATTATTATAATATTGACAATTTTATTTGCCTTTCCTATTAAAGGCTTACTTATTAGAAATGATTCTTTCAAGCAATTGAAGGAATTGCTAATGATTAGTTAACTTAAACAAACTTTAAATATAATTATAGAGAGTAATTGCAGTTTTTGTTTAGATTTTTTATTTATTTTTTTACATTTGTAATTATAAATTTTTAAAAAAGTTTGTAATAGTATTATATTATTAAAATTCAAAAAAAAACTAATCTGAATTATATAAAAGATTTTTAGAATTCTATTTTAATGACAAAATTTTAATAATGTCAAATTTAAATAGGTTTTTTAAACTTCTTATAATATTTGTGATAAAGTAATAAATAACTTAATTAAAGGTATTTCTCTAACTTTGTAGTAAATTGTAAAATATTCAAAATAAATCTTTATTTTAAAAAGGATCTTTAATAATTAATTACTATTGTTACATGAAAGAAGACATGGATGATGACGATCTAAAGGATGACATCAATCCTTAAGAAATAATATATGTCTTCTATATTATCTATGTCATCTATAGTATATATTTCTTTTATACAATATATTTCTTTATTTATTTTATCTTATTTATTCCATATATTTTATTTATTATATTTATTTCTTTTATATCTTCGGTAACTTTATATTTTCCATTTATATAAATAGAGGACAATTTCTTTTAGCTTAGCAGTGTGTCTAACATATAGTTTTATATAATAGTTTAATTTAATCTCTCTAACATAATTGTATAGTATAGAGTGCTGACTGAGGCAGTATTCCTTTGTTATAGTTATTAAATAAACTGTTAATTTATTAACACTCTTCTTAATTTAAATATCAAATTAAACCTTTTGCTTATCACCCATAAATATTGCTTTGCTTATCACTTATAAGCATCTTAAAGAATTGATTGTAACACTTTACTTTCTAAATATTAGAATAAATCTTATAATGAATATGCATTTCTATTTAAAATCAAGTTAGTAAACCTTTTCTAAAATTTCTTGAATATGATAGCTATCTTATTGTAAATCATCTTAATAATATTATCTTTATATTTTGTGACTACTTAAAATACAAGTTAAAACTAAGATCCTTTATTTCAAAATTTTTTATTTATATTATTTATATAATATTTCTTGTCTTATATTAATAATAAAGATCTAAATTATAATTTAAATTATAACTTTAATTATTTAATTATTTATTAATTTAGTAAAAAAGATCAGGAATGATTATTCTGAATCTATATGTATATATATTCATGACTAGTTATAATTCAAGTGAAATAAGAGAAAGCTTATATTAATCAAATTTATCATCTTAGTTATATATATAATAAATTTTAAAGTAAATGTAATTGTATTTAAAAAAAAATAAGCAAAAATATTATAAGTAAAATTTATTAATTAACTAGTTAATATTATTTTTATTAGTATTTACTGTGATATTATAATATTATGATTTAGGATTTTTTTATTTTTGGTCATGTAATGAGTTATATTAATTATGCAAGATAAGTCATATTTTAATTATGTAAAGATTAGTATATAAATTTCTTATCAGAATTTAATATGTTATGCAAAATAAAAAAATATTTTTTTTAGAAAAAAAAATTTTATTTAAAATATTAATATAAATCATTTATATGAATTATATTATACAAGAGAGATCTGTAAAAGGAAATAAAATTTTAAATTTATAAGGAGTTCATATTAGAAATATAATTTAATCTTTCATATTCAAAAATAATACTTTGGTCAGTCATAAATATAAAATAGTCAAGGTAGAATATATTAATATTTTTCTAGGTCAAATATCTATTAAGAACAATATAAGCTTGCCTAAAGGAAAAAATATTTTGGTCTAATGTAAGAGAAACTCTTAATAAAATTAAGTTTTAAGTTTTATAAATAGTAAAAGTAAAAAAATTCTATAAAAAAAATTGAATATAATAACAATTAATCCTATTTATCTTGAAATAATAAGTTTATTTATAGATATCAATATTAATTATAGACTCTTTTATGAAGAATTTGATATAAATATATTATTTAATGTGATTAATATTTATATAGTATTATTACATATTTTTTGTTTTATAAGAGAATTATTAAGATACATAATACAGGCACCTTGTTGAAAAAGAATACAGAAAGGTAAATTTATTTTTAGTTTAAATGTTTTGTTAAAAAGTTATTTATTCTATTTTTGTAAGTTAATAAAGTTAATAACTTGTGAGATTAAAAATCTATTTTTAGAGACAAAAAGGATATTACAAACTATTATATTTATTTATTATGTAATTTTTCTAAAGTCTGCAATGTAAGTAATGTTTAGAAGAATATTAATCAGTAGTCAATTCAGAAATTTTGAATGGTGTTATTATAAAATATTTCAGATTTCTGTGAAAATATTATTTATTCTAACTTTTTGTAGAATTTATATTATTTTGTTAATATTGAAAAGTTTTTAAGAATAATGAATAGAATAGTAATTAAATAATTATACAAAATATATTTTGATCAATAAATTAAAGAAAGTTAAGTGAAGTCTCTAACAAGAATAATATTTATTCTATTAAAAAGAAATAGCATCATTATGAGGGTTTATAAAAATGTTAGAAATAAGTCAAGGAGTTTTTCAGAAATCATAAATATTTCGTTGATAATAATGATATAAATCTTTTGAAAATAAATTTTTATCTGTGTAAATTTGTATATGAAATCTAATATAAATTAATTGTAATCTATAATGCTAAATGAATAGTTTTTCCTTTAATATTCTATACTATTATTTTCAATAGGAGTTAGTAAAAGATAGGAAAAAGATCATATAATGAGCATATCTATAATTATATTAATAATATAGTATTTATAAATTCCTTCTAAGCTGGTTATAAAGCAGTGTTGGCATTTGGTCATTTGACTAATGTTTGGCTATAACCGTTTGACCGTTTGGTTGCAGCCAAAATAGCCAAATTTTATTTAAGTTTGACCAGCTAAAAATATATTTTTTATCAATAACTCATAAATAAAACAGAAATATAATTGTTAATTGCAAAATAAATTTGATACCTCTAACGTTCAAGATGTTAAAAATTGCAAAAATTGACGTTTTTGACATTCAGAACATTTTGTTTTAACATCCTGAATATTAGAGGTGTTAATTTTTGCAATTTTAAATATTCTGAACGTTAAAAACGTCAATATTTTGCTATTTTGCAAAAATTTGAACATTCTGAACTTTGAAAACATCAATTTTTTTTGCAATTTTGCAGTAAATTCAATAAATTGCTATTTGCAAATAAATTGTGACTAAAATTGACAAAGTCATATAACATTTGGCCAATTTGGCTGATTGGTGATTTGGTTGCTGATTTTGACCGATTGGCCAAATCGACTAATAGCCAAATAATTATGCTTGGACATGCTCAAATGCTAACTATGTTATAAAATAATATAACTATTTTATACTATTATTTTGTCTTATATATATAAAAATAGTTGATAAAATATGATATTAATCTTATAATTATTTAAGCATTATTATTTCAGAAAAAATATGTAAAAGTGTTCAATGTTTTCTATTTGAATTTATATAATATGATAAATATTTATAGAAAATTGTTATCTTAAAGATTATTTGAAATTATATTAGTTTATCATAATAATCTTTGAATGTTCTAATAGTGTTATAGATTTTCAAGTTATAAATATAAACAAGATAGTTAATAGAGATGAAGACTTTATTTTGGGTTGTAGTTTATTAGATGTAATTTTATATATTTGCTATAAGTTTCAGCATAAGTTTTATTATTTAGGTTAGATTAATCTAAGACGTTATGAAAATGTTCTTTTTATCAATAAATAAAACAAGGAAAAATAGAGTTTTTAAATTTATATTATATGTAAAAATTGAGAGATACATTAGAATAATTGATATATGATTAGTTCTAGAGAAATGGTCAGATTGAATTTGTTGTTTACAATATAATATCATATTAACAAAAGAATATAGATAGGGATTGTTTTGAATCAACCAAGTGGCAGTTTATTTGAGGATCAGATCATGAGTGTTATGTATTGATTATTATCAAGATTATCATAGTTTATTTTAAGAAGACTCCTAAGATTCTAAAATATAAAGCATGAATTCAGATATTATAGAAATAGTCTATAGTTTTAGTTAAACTTCTATACTCAGTATAGGGATTAAAGTTAAAAAAACATTTTAAAGAGCAATGTAAAAAATAGGTAATAAATATTTTTTCATATTTAAGGGAACTAATGTAATTTCATTGAGCATAGATGATAGGTAAGAAAATGTAAAGCTTTTTATAAGATTCACAGGTAGAAATTTTTAGTGAATTAATTCGATTTAAATTAGGGTTAAAGAATAATAAGATTTCAGATAAGTTTGTTATATAGTGTAGATTTGATTTCATGCTAATTTATAATCAAAAATCTTACTTATGAAATTCTATTATATATTAAAATAAATTAATTAATTATAAAATATCATAATACTAAAATACTGAATTATAAAATTTTTTAATTTAAATTTTTTGTCAATAGAAAAGGGAAATTTGCCGGAAAAAAAACAATATTTATTTTTATATCATGATTTTTAGTCCAAATATGTTCAGATCATTTTTATTTTTTCCATTGTCAAAGGTCCATATTATAAATTTGAATAATTATCTCATGTTGGCCGGAAAAATATATATGAAATTCATCTGATGATTTGCATAAATTGCTGACCAAAATATTTGTAAATTAAACGTTTATTTACTTGCATACTTGTAACATTATGAATAGAGCAATATTGAGAAAATTTATCAATATTTCCGCAATTCACTCTTTTAAGCAGGAAGGGAAAAGACGTATCACACCTTGCATTAGTTCTTTATTTTTGCAAAAACGATGTCTTGCTACACCAAGTGAGACTACGGTAAGTTTATTTAAATATGGTTTTTTAATGGTTAAAATTTGGTTATTAATTACAAGCAAACGATTGAGCGAAATTTGTAAAAGCGAACATATTTTTTAAGGATATCAAGCGTTTTTTTTCCGAACAGCTTTGCTTAAATAAATTGTTAGCTCGGACGTGACTTAATAACATATTATTATTCTGCTTATCTACTTAAATATTCGTGCAAACAGTGATATAGTTTCGATGGTTATTATTATTTATAGATGACTGTAAGAGATGCCTTAAATATCGCGCTTGAAGAGGAATTTATTCGTGATGATCGTGTCTTCTTACTTGGCGAGGAAGTTGCCCAATATAATGGTGCATATAAGGTATGTGATAATTAAACTCAATTTATAATCCCTTTTAAAATTACATTGTTTAAAAGTTTTATATTAGGTATCAAAAGGCTTACTTGATAAGTTTGGCCCGAAAAGAGTGATTGATACACCAATCACAGAAGCTGGTTTTGCTGGTTTAGCTGTCGGTGCGGCATTATCTGGATTGAGACCAATTTGCGAATTTATGACATTTAATTTTTCCATGCAAGTCAGTTAAATTATATTTTATACATATTATATTATCCTAGATAACTAATTTACTGCCATATTTTTTTCAATTATGAAGGCAATTGATCATGTAATTAATTCTGCAGCAAAAATATTATACATGTCCGGTGGAGTTGTACAATGTCCTATAGTTTTTCGTGGACCAAATGGTTCGGCTGCGGGTGTTGCCGCTCAACATTCCCAAGATTATTCAGCATGGTATGGCGCTATTCCTGGATTAAAGGTGGTTTCCCCATGGGATAGTGAGGATGCGAAGGGTTTATTGAAGGTATTCACTTATATATTTTGAATTGAATTGAAATTTTATGTAAAATTGACTAAATCAAAACAAATTTATCGCTTTAAAGGCTGCAGTGAGAGATCCCAATCCTGTAGTTGTGTTGGAGAACGAACTTCAATATGGAGTTTCTTATCCAGTATCTCAAGAAGTGATGTCACCGGATTTTGTACTGCCGATCGGAAAAGCAAAAATAGTGCGTGAAGGCAAAGATGTAACGATCGTAGCACATTCAAGGCCAGTAAACTTTTGTTTAGAGGCAGCTGATAAATTGTATAGCGAAGAAGGGATTTCTGCCGAGGTCATAAATTTGCGCTCAATTAGACCACTTGATATCAATACAATTGTTAATTCATTGAAGAAAACTAACCATTTGGTGACTGTCGAATCAGGATATCCCCAATTTGGTGTTGGTAGTGAAATATGTGCTATTGTGATGGAAACGGAAGCATTTGATTATCTGGATGCTCCAGTAGAAAGGGTGACTTGTGCTGGTAAGTTTAAAGAAAATAATTAATTTGTAGATTTATGTTTTATCTAATTATTTATTTATTATATCAGATGTTCCAACTCCATATGCCGCAAATTTAGAAGATTTGACTTATCCAGATGCAAATGTAATCGTTAAAGTTGTAAGACGTGCTTTGTATAAAAAAAAATAATCTAGTATAACTATTTATTTAATTTATTTTAACATTAATAAATCATTTTTGGAATTTCTACTAATATATTCTGAATTAATATATAAGAAGACTAAATCAATATTATCACGTGAACATTACATAACAATGAGGTTTTCCTATTTATAGATTTCATTATTCATTATTCTGCACTCTGCAAGATTTAGTTTAATCTTCCTGAAGTTTATCCAAATTAAGTTAAATAGTTGCCAATAAAATTTAATTTAAAATTAAATTTAATGAGGATCCATTTGTTCTTTATTGTGATAATAAAATGGTTGCTCAACTTCGCTTTGAAAACTCCTTTTGGACTCCAAATAATTATACTAATGGAATCACAGTTTTATACGACAAGCTTGAACAAGGAAGAATCGAAAATGAGGAAATCGTTGCATTTATAAGGGTTAGCATTATGGCACCCGTAAAATTTTTGTAAAGGTTCGAAATTTTTTGTTTGCAATTCATCAAAAAAAATTTTCTAACGCAGCTTATTTTTCTGTTCTTTTGAAAAATGATACTACATTTATTTAACTGATGGTTAAAAACCTAGGAAAGGATATCAATTGAGGAATTATATGGTAAAAAACTATGTGATCTCTCCAAGCCTTGTAGAAAAGACGGATTCTTGCGCGATGACGGGGCTTCTCTACGAAAATCATTTGAAACAGTCAAGAATGAGTGTGGTAATCTAGGGCAAGCACATTTACGTCTAGCTGGCAATTTAGCTGAAATTGTATTACAACCATTACTTAAATCTAAAGAGGGGCATGCTAAACGTCTTAAATCAAGTAGAGAAGAATTAACTGGATATTTGAAAATTTATGAACGGTTAGTTGCTGACGTAGAAAAATTACGTAGTAATTATGTGAATAAATGTCAAATAGCTGATGAGGCAGAGGAAAGAGCTGCCAGCGAAGCATTAGCTCAAAAATCTTTAGAGAAAGGAAAAGTGAAAAATGGTTTCCAATTATTAGTTGTTGTTCTCGGTCAACAATCCTTTACAGAGGATGAACTTATGAAATTTCTTTCACGAATGCGCGATGAAATTTCTTCTCGAGAAGTAAAATTTCCAATATTAGGAGTATATAATGATGTATACAGTGGCGAGGATATTGTCAAATGGTTACAAGAAAATCACCCTAATGCACGTACTTTGAAGGAAGCTGAAATTATTGGTCAAGAATTGGCTGATCAAGGATTTTTACGTCTTATCGGTGCATACGGAAATAAATTTACTGGTAATCCTTCCTCTTACTTTCAATGGAAGATAAAAGCTTTTGATCTCAGAGCTACTGAAGAACCTATTACTTTGTCAAAAAGTTGGGGTGATTTGGTTTCGACTATCGCTATTACACCTAGTCAGCCAATTGAAAAGCGTGCTCGTAAGGAGGCTAATGAAGCTGATGAGGCTTATAGACATGCAGTTAGAAGACTTGATAAAACGCGTCAATATCTTGAAGAATGTATGGTACGTTATGGGTTGACTAAGGAAGAATGGAATGCTTTTTAAATTCCGTAAAAGTTAATTTTATTAAAATTTTCTATTTATCTTATGTAAATTTACAGGTCGATCATTTGAATTTCATGGAAAAAAGTGAATTGGATCGCATTAAGGCTTCGAAAACAGGTAATTTGGTGAATCAACTTAATATTTGAAAGGCGATTATAAAATGAGTCAACAACTTTCGAAATAATCAGTTCGGCTTATTAGATCCCTATTATTAAATTAGCTTTCCTGAACTACGCCGCGACATTTGGTAGCATTATTTCTACCTTTAAGGATATGTCAGAGAGATTGCTTATTTATCATGAGGCTTTAAAACCAGAAAACGATATTCAATTCATGATTGAAAGATATCGTACTGGTCCATTCATTCCACAGGTCATTTTATATAAGAATCAGTACAACGGAAGTGCAAATGGTAATATATTATCTTTTTTTCTTCCTTAAATGATTTATAATCATTTAAATTTTTTTCGTTCAAAATTAGATCAGACGTTTGGTGTTCCACTAGAAGAGAAGGCTAAGCATGATTTAAAGTATATTCCACAGATTGTAACAAAGTGTCTTAGTTGCATAACCAAAGGATTTTCTAAATGGAATGATGCTGGTAAATGATTTAGTATATATTTATTGTTCTTGTATACATTACAATTAATTTAAAATTAATTAATTTAAAGATAAAAGACTCGTGTGGACAACAAATGTTCCTTTGACGTCAATTCATGCACTTCGTGATAAAATCAACGATGGTAAGTTATAATATATACAAATTTAAATGTAAAATATAATACTAAAGAAAAAAAAATATTATGTAATTTCTTAGGTGGAAAAGTTGCGTTAAAACTATTGAGAGAACATGATTTATCTGTTGTTGCAGGAGTCCTGAAATTGTATTTCTTGGAATTACCTGAATGTTTGCTCACCTTTGAACTTTATGAACCAGTGAAGATGTTATATTCAATTAGTGAGTTATCATTTGTCTTGCAAATCTTAATTAATGTAAAACCGTATAACTTACCTATTAATTGTATATAAGGTTCTGATGATCAAGACGATAAAACGCGTCTTTCCTCCGCGGCCAATTTGCTAATTACATCTCTTAACGATGTAAATTATCGAACTTTGAATGCATTCATATCTCATTTGCATCAGTAAGTTTAATTTATATATATTTTATTTATAAATTAAGTTACATTATAACCTTTTTAAAATAAAATATTATTAGGTTAGCCTTGTCTGTGGAACCTGATGATAGGTTTATCACAACTATTTCTCAACTATATGGGTTTATTTTATTAAGGCCATCAAATAAATCTTCAATTTATCTTGATGACAAGCATCCAACCAAGTTATTAAAGGACCTAATTATTTACTATGACGAGATATTTAAGAATTTAAATCTTACATCAAGCTCAATAGGCGAAGTGATGAGACGTTCTATGAGCCGTGATTCTTTGCAGTCTAATAAATCTACCAAGTCAAATCGCTCATCTATTTCTAATAATCGTTCCAGTCGTAGCAACATTACAATAAATACTTCACCATCTATGAATAAATATATTAAGGACTCTCAAGGTAACTATATTTATACCTAATTATTGAATTCTTAATTAATAATTAATAATATATACTTATTTTTTCAGTGAAAGAAAATGAATATCCAAATGGTATTATTCAAAATGGTTCGGAACCAACCACTGGGGTATCAACTAACCTTCCTATCGAGAATACATACATATTGTCTCCAATTGATGCTGTAAAGGAACCAGATTTCATAGAAAATAGTCCTATAGCAGGTTCAGGTTACAGCAAAGAGGACTCGTTGTCAACTAATCATGGAACAACTGGATTAGGTCGCCGTCGAGGATTTCGACGACAATCACGTGGAGCTAGTTCACCTTCAGGTTCAATAAGCCGCTCAAGAAGAAAGACTCGTGAATCAGAAAATTGTAATGATCCAGATGGCGGTTATGAAGACAGAATATCGGATTCAGGATCAACAGAATCATCCCCCGTCTCACCGATTTCTAGAACTAATTCTAGAAAGTCATATTCTTCTCGTCCAAATTCAGGACATTTTGTATTTCCAAACAAATCATTTATTTCAGTTGATGATACTACGTTAGTAGCTGTACCCATTACCCCTCACGATCATCAGCCAAAGAATCCCTATCCAGGTGAAACCTATGAATTTTAATTTTAAATTATTTATATATTTATATCATTTAAGTTTTTATAACGATAACTATTTCTGTATTTTATAAAACAATAAATGTAAAAAAAAAAATATAGTATTTTCTGAATGTAATATTTTTTATTTTTATTTTTTGAAATAAGATACTTTAATTCTAAATTAGAAATATCAAAATTATATATTTAAACAATTGCACATTCAATTCAAATGTCGCGCGTTTTTGCAATTAGTAAAAAGAATTATAGGCTTTGAAATAATGATGCGATATTACGGTAAAAATTCCTTTATACGAATAGATATAGCAGAAATGTACAGTAAAAAATATATCAAAAAATATATCAATATGGGTAGTTGTACAATATATTAGTAAATTTTATTATATTATATTATTTAAATTTTGATTTATTTCCAATAATCTACTCTCCTTCCAATAACATTTTTTGCTTCTTTGGATGTTAAATGATAAACTCCTAATTCTTCCAGCATTCTAGGTACCGTTGTATGTTCTAATTCATCATCAAATAATACGGAAATTACTTGATATAAGGTCTTTTGTTGTGGCTTTTTGTTACTGCACTCATTTTCTAATGGAGATTGATTTGCAGGAAGAGTGAGCAAAATACACGCATCTCTCAGCCTAATATAGAAATTAAAGGTTATTAGACATACTACTAAATAATCAAGAACAATCGTTAACATACCTTCTAAAATAACTTTCCGGTTTTCGAATCCATCTTTTACCAATGGTAAATAATCCTTTTTCCATATCTATTTCAAACTGCCATCCGCCCAATTCAGAGAATTGGTTTCTCATCAAGATACGGTCCCATAAATGATCTTCCAATTCCTTTGATACGTCTTTGTATATATGTTTAAATATACGATCGGGTAAATTATTTGATAAGAATGTAAGTGAATGCGCAAGATCAGATAATGGCATATAAAGCTCCGGTGATAACTCAATAGTTGGGCGTGATATAATATCTTTTGGTTGATTATTCAATCTATGTATTTGTTCAATTGTAGACTCTGATGAATCATAACCGTATATCTCGGACCTTGACCAATTATTTCTATTGCAAAAGAAAAAAAAGAAAAAAATTGTTTGAATTTGTGAAACTGCTACAAAAAAATTAAAAATCAATCAAATGTTATATACTTTTTATTATATGCTTTCAATCCATTTGAAAACTCTCTGGAAACATTTTTCACTATTAATGATTGAATTCGTTCGCAAACATTATCGAATAATTCAGCTGGGTCATCGAAAACTGTTCCTTCGTCAACAGTAATTTCCTCGTCTACATGAGCTGAAGAGGCACCTTGACCCTGTACCGTAGAATTGATAGACAATGTTGGAGATGGTAATGGTGATACGCCTGTATTACGTGCAGCACGAACAGTAACTTCATGCCAAAGATCAAGGAAAAACTAAAAAAAAACATAGATAGAATTATAATAAAATTAAGCAATTTGTAATAGTATTAAAATTATAAATTATTTACCGCATCCTCACCCCATTCTTTGATCGTTCTACTGACGAAACCCGCACTATTTAGCCATCTACATAGCCTCTTCAATCCTTCTATTCCTGTAATGGATTTCCCATCTGTATTTGGAACAGCCCTTACAAACGAATAACTCAAATTTTCGAAAGCGTCAACGGCAGAGTTAATCCTTTTAGCATAGGTCAATAATATTTCCGCTTGAATATCAACTAGGAAACGAATCCGATTATAAAACATCGGCAATAATTTATAACGATCTGAATAACAATATAAGATTAAAATATTTCATCCAACTTAAAACTTGAAAAGAGAAAAGTATTTAATGATACAAACTAGTTACAAGCTCTAAAAGGTTAATTAACTTTGCTGCTGATTTAGTCGGCTTATATTCATCATCTGGATTTTCCTCATCGATGATTTCCCACGCATCTTCCGAATGCATAATCTCATTATAACGTTCCTCCGCAACTTTTTTTGAATATAGTTAGTTAAATAAAAATATTATCAAAAAAAAAAGTTCAAGCTTTATACGTACAGTCTTTTTCAACCTTTAACCATGCCTTAAACCATTCTTTCTTCCCAACAAACACTTCAACGCATCCTTTCCACTCTTTTTGCCCGGAAGGTGTATACATGTGTAATTCACGTAGAGTTTGGTCAAATTGCAATGTTTCAAATACAGTGTGCGAAAATACTTGTGGAGAATTCAATAATTTTGGAACACTGTTATTTAATTTTCTGGTGACAGCTACGAGCAGACACCGGATAAACTCATTCTTGAATAATAAAATACTTGACTTAATCAAAATAACTTACAATTAAAAATAACAAAAAACCAATTTAATTGACTAATATACTTTTGCGTGATATTTCTCAAAGCCTGCATCATCGACGATCGATTGTACCGCTCCAGTCAAGAATGGTAAATGTTCACGTATAGTAGTGATAACATGACTAAAATACCACTCGGGCTAAAATTTTTTTTTTTTAAAGAATAAAATTTGAAAAATTTGGATTTAAATAAGAGAATATATTATCGTGTATATTCACCTTATCGATTCTGTTGGTAGGTCTTTTTGAATCAAAATGGTATCTGAAACGAACCAACAATGGTTCAACCATTATCTGTATTGGCAAAAGAGGTGGAAAAGTCTCATTATCTTCTTTAGGATTTTTAGATTCTAAAGGTTCTGATACTTCATCAACTTCAACGGGTTGTTGCAATAACAATAATTCAGTGAATGCTTTTCTAAATGTGGATAATTTGTCTGTCGTGTTTGACGTGTAGGGAACTTTAATTGGTGTTGGCCAACTAAGAGCATTGAGTGAGTGTTGAAATTTTCTAAAATTTACAAGCGAGATAGATATACTTTTTTAGTAAATAATATATAAGTGCACTGACTTTTACTAATCGTAAAACTAACTTTGTTAATCTACTTTTCATGTCTTCCCATAACGCGTCAACACATCGTTGCAAGTATATATCTAAATGACTAACTGCGTGACCTGCTTCCTGGCTACTAGATTTGATCTTACGAGCTAGGTGCGCAAGTTGTGTGTATGGTACAAGAGCTTTCTGCGGAGATTTTTCAATCAATTGCTTTGCCTTTGTACTGTAAAGTATAATAGTTGATCGTCAATAATCATTACTAATGATAATTGGTAACATGTATATATAATGCATAATAATGATATAACACCTCAATTCATCTATAACCACCAAAACTTTAAGGTATTGTTTAGATCTTTCCAAACTATCAAGCTGCTGCTGTAATGTAACCAATTTTTCCATTATCGTTTCATTCCGTAAATCTTCTACTTCTTGAGTATTTAGTAACTTTTGAGAAATCATAGCATTACAATGTTCCGTTAAGGTATCTTCCAACTCCAATCGCGTAGATTGTAAAGATTCAAGTTCAGTTATAGTAGAGGTAAAAGAAGATAGAGATTGCTGAAGTACTTTCGAAGTATTCGCTTGCGTTTGAAAGCGCTAAATTGAAATTATGAATCAATCAAATTGAAAAAAAAAGATAACCATTTGAAGAGCAGTTCACCTTTTCGTCCAGCGAATGCTCATTTTCTTTTAGTTCAGCTAAGGTAGAGTTCAATTTTTCTAGATCCTCCAACTCTTTAAAATGCGAGTTAAGGAAGTCAACGACATAATTTTCTGTCTCGATTTCATCGGGATATTTTATAATAACTTCAGGATCGTAGGAATTTGCCATGTAAAAAGTCGATGTCGAGAATTTCCATTTCCATATCTAATTTTTAATGTAAAGTTTATGTCATCGATGATCTGTACATCTGTACAACAAAAATTTCTAAAATAGACGGCGTTTATTTAACAAATATAATTTTCGCGCGATTTCTTTTCCTTGGAAACTACAAAATTACTTGGCCGTTTAATTTCTATTTAAAACGATAGAAGCTTGTAATGTCACCGCTCGCACATTCTAAAAGAACTTCGATTTTACACCGACGCGAGCCGTCGGTTCCACATGAGGTCAAAGAGACATTAGATGCAGTTGTAACTGAAACTCAAGATGGAGAACGTTGTTTAAACAACTACGTTTTGAAAGACGTAATCGGACAGGGAGCTTATGGCACAGTGATTTTAGCCTATGACAAAGAAACCAAAATGAAATATGTAGGTTCTGTCACAAAATGTCTATTAAGCTTAGAATTATTTGAAAATTCAAAAATATTTGAAATTATGTCGCCAATTAAGGTCTATTATATAAGAGTCATTTGTTCATTAAAGGATAAATGTACATTCTTTTCCAAAAATTATACAGGCTGTCAAAGAATTCAGCAAATCACGACTTCGCAAAAAAGATAAGGCAAACTTCTTTCGTCGTCCACGCGGCAGAGGGATTCGAGGTCGAGGAGGCGCACCCGTAAGCGACACAACGAATACATCAGATCCCCTATATTTGATTCGTAGTGAAGTTGCTGTATTCAAGAAGTTGAATCATGTTAATGTGGTAAAATTATACGAAGTATTGGATGATCCAAGTAATGATTCTCTTTATATGGGTAAATGTTCTGCTTAATTTATCTGTCATTTGATTATATAAGATTTAGTTCTGATTGATTCATAATATATTTAGTATTCGAAATGTGCGAGAATGGAGTTCTCATGGATGTTAATATCCAGAAGAAATCAACTCCATTTCCCGAAGAGAAAATGCGGCTTTATTTCAGAGAAATGATACTTGGTTTTGAATATCGTAAGTATCATTTTCGCGATTTTTTTTCTTTGACATTCTATTTTTTTTTCTTATAACAAGATGAACACCTTTTTCATTTAAACCTTTAAATCAAATTAGTACATGAAAATGGGATTGTTCACCGGGGTAAATACGAGCGATTTATGAGTCAACATCGAATTATTATATGATGGATGATTTTCGGAATAAATATTCTGAAATTTCTGTTTTTAGATATTAAGCCCGACAATCTCTTATTGTCAAAAGATGGTGTGCTTAAAATAGTAGATTTCGGTGTATCTGAAATATTTATCAAAGGCAATGATAAATTGAAGAAATCTGCCGGTAGCCCGGCTTTCATGGCACCGGTAAATCATTTTGTCAAATGTTTACTTATCTTTATCACATTAAGTTAATAATTAATTTCTTAATAAACAGGAACTTTGTGTAGGTGAGATACACATAGGATCTTTCGTAATATTTTTGAATTCTATTTGATTGATTTATAACTTTGCACCAAATTAATGTCTTTAAATTTATAATAAAGCTCATCATGACGAAATTTCTGGACAGGCCGCAGATATTTGGTCCATGGGAGTCACTTTATATTGTCTTGCTTTTGGACAATTGCCTTTTCGGAAGGAAAACATTCTTGATATGTATGAATCAATAAAACATGATGAGTAGGTATATTTTAATTTTATGCATAATTAGATCTTACTTTTCATAACAAAAAATTTAATTTTGTTTTTCGTGATATATAGATTCGAAATTCCGGAAGGAACAGATCCCGATTTAGCTGATCTTCTTAAAAAGATTCTTGAGAAAGATCCAAACAAAAGAATTACAATGCTTGAGATTCGTGTATGTTTCCTTTTAAATTTTAAAATAAAAGTGGTGAACCTTTTTTTTTTTTTAAAAAAAAAACATCTTTATTTTTAAATTACAAATAGGAACATCCATGGGTTACTGAAAGAGGAAATGATCAACTTATAACTAGAGAAGCGAATTGTGCCGAGGTGGTTACCGAAATTACAGATGCAGAATTTAATTCGGCTATCAAAACTATTAGCATTGGTACTGCCATCACTGTGGTATGTAATTTGATTTTTAATATTGAAAAAAGGAATAAGGAGGATTCTCTATTAATATTTTTTTAAAAAAATTATTGAATTTGTTTAGATTGTTGCTGGCAATAAATGGAAGAGAATGTCCAAAACACATAGTATGTCATCTGGAGATTTTGCAAAATTAAGAGCCTTGGAAACTGCTGATAATGAAAAAGAAAAAGGAGAGAGTAGTACTGCCGAAACTACAACCGGTTCGTCAATTGTTTCGTCCGAATGAGAGTGTGAATTCTGGATTTTATTTCAAATTTCACAGAAATACGAATGTCCATTCTTTTTTTTATAGTATAATTTATTTATATAATTTATAAATTTATATATTTTATTTTATTTTATTCTATTCTTTTTTTTCTCTTTTTAGATTTGTGTTTAATCATTATTCAATAAAACATGCAATCCGCGATAAAAATTATTGATTAGAGTCAATCTTCCACGTTAAAGTTTTTCCAGCCCAAAATGGAATGACGATTCCAATTTTTGCTTCTTGTCTATCGTCAAATGAGTACGAGTTTGGAACTGACCAAGTTTCTTTAATCAATTTAATTTCACGGCATTTATCCTCCTTTTCTTTTACATCATAAAATTTCTTGCCATTCTCACAAGCAAATAATTTAAGCATATGAAGCGCGTTAAATGATTCAAAGATTGTAGCAAGGTACGGAAGAGTTAAAGGAGTAGTAAATACACCAGCACATGCTTGAGCACATTCTTTAAGATGCGCGGGGTGTGGAGCAGAATCTGTCCCCAAGAAAAATCGAGGATGGCCTACAAAAAGTTGAATTAAATTATAAAAATCGTTCGGTTCAATATAAATCACCAAAATAATAAATACTTGCCTTCAAGGATTATATCACGTAAAGCTTTACGATCGTGAGGAAATTTTGCAACAGGTTTACAAAAATTATGACATTGGCCAGCCCAATCATCAACAATAAGTTGCAAATGATGAATCGTTATGGTACAGCCAACGGTGTCTCCAAGTGATTTTACCTAAGGAAAAAAATTCATGAAATAAATGGATCTTTTTTTTTTTAAAAAAAAAAAAAAAATGAAAACTAACTTTACCGTTTCAATCGCAGCTTTAGTTGTAGCATGTTCCAAGACGATTTTTAATTTCGGGAAATCATTATGTAATTTTTTTAAATGTATTAAAAATTTTTCTTCGGCATTCATTACACAAACATCCTAAAATCATTAATGAGAAGAGAATTTTTAATCATAATAACATAATAAATCAACAATAATATGATGATCATGCTTTATTTACAAGAGCTCACATTTTCTAAATCACTTGGTAATTCACCATGTAGGTTCAATATCATTCCCACTTCTTCCATTACTTTAAAAACCGGATAATAAACAGTATATGATTCTATACCAGAATCCGAATTAGTAGTTACTCCTCTTGGATATGATTTGACACCAATAATGCCATTTGCTTTAGCCTTTCTAATTTCTTCAGGTGTCAAATCAGGACTAAGATATAAACTCATAAGAAAGGTTACATTCGGTTCTAATTTTTCTAATTGAGCTTTATAATCAAGGGCTTGTTTTGTAGAAGTAATAGGTGGTTTAAGATTTGGCTATTAGAATAAATTAAACGTTAGCCTATCTATCTTTTACCAATGAGCAGGAACCTCAATTTTATTAGGTTTGTCTACCATGACATAACATAACGAAACCCCTCCTTCTGCGATTCGAGGAACCACCATGTTCATTAAATCATCTTGTCGAAGATGAATATGAAAATCACTTGCTGAAGGAAGCACTAAAGTTTCTGGCATTTTTCTTTCGATAGAAATATATAATCTCGACACCATATCAAATTTTTTTAAAACAGGTTTCCGATCATATGACCGAGATCAGACGGATCGACATGTAGTAAAAAACCTTAAATGAGTTATAATGAAAAGTATGTTTTTTTCCGGACGCGAAAGGAATCTAAATGAAGGGCTTTTGTCGTCGTATGATTTTTACAATATTGGAATTCATAATTAAGTTCTTTTACCATACTTTACTTGATTAGCGAAAAGGATCGGTAAACGCATTTTAATTAATTTCGAACTTTAGATTTGTAAGAACATACTGCGTTTTTAGTCACCTGCATTATTTAAAAAAAAAATGGAAATTCTTAAAAAGCGCAATAGTGAAATTTAAAAAAAATTAGAAAAGGAATATTCTTCAAAACATAAAAAGAATTAAGAGTGTGGATTCCATTTTTTTTTTTAGACAAATCAATATACAAATATAATTGAATTCAGAATCCTACAAAATTTTTATATATAAGAAATAATGGAAAAAGGAATATGTAAACAACTTTAGTTGAAATATTAAAAATGGATTCTAATAATAGTCGTCTAAATAACGATTATTAATTAAAGGCATGTCTTATAATTAAGGGAGTCTAAAAAATAATAAATAACGATTAATTGTCGCAAGTTGAATAAACAAACGCGAAAATTTAAATGACAATGATTATTATATAATCGTGTGATATCTTAAAAAATTTGTAACGATCACATTGAATTAAAATGTCTAGTAGCTTCGGACAATAAATAATGTTAATTTTAACTAAAGAATTTGTTTGAAAAGACGATGAACTCTATATTATAATAGTTGACAGTAAATTGATTAGAAAAAAAAAAAAAAATACTAAATTTTATTAATTATGAAAACTTATAACTAATATTATATGTATTTCTTTAAATTTAAAAAAATATATATTGGTTTATGATAAAATACATGAGCAAAAATACATACTTATATAATACTTAAAATCATAATAAAAAAGTCCTATTTTAATTAGAATTAACAACAGTCCATTAAGGAAAAATAAATAAATCACGACACAGTATTTGCAATCATTGATCAGGTAGCTGCTCCTTCGGTGGTTAAAAATGCTGCTCCATTGCCATATCCGTAGCCCTAAAAAAATTTTCAATAAGTATGAAATTAATTTAAAAAAAAAAAAAAAAGCACTAAAATTTAAAATACCTTTGGGCCAAAGCCTTTAGAATAACATGACCGGCAATAAATCTTGCCTTCTCGGTCTGCCATATTTGCAGAACTCACAAGTTTATCGCAATTAACACAACGTAAACATAATTTGTGATATTTAACTCCGGCACCTAACGCCTGTATATATATATTGAATATAGATAAGAAATGAATTTAAATAGACGGAATATTACGTAAATTAAAATAAACGTACCGCTTCAGCTGCATAAACAGCCTTTGAACAGCGTGGACATATATCATTATTGAGTGGAAGTGTCCAACGCTTCGCATTTCTAGGTGACTGAGGCCTAGAACTGAAAAATCCCGATGGTGAACTAGGTGGTGATTGAGATATCTTGTCCGAGGTTGATTCATTACCACTTGGTTTTTTGATTGGTCGGTCGCTACTTAAGAATGAAGTTCCTGCGCCATATCCATAACCTTTGAGATTAAAGATTAGAATTAAATGCTCATTCAATTAAATGATAAATATGTAGCATATAAATGAATAACATACATAATTTTTACCTTTTGGCCCAAAATGACGTCCATGACAAGTTTTACAATATGCCTAATTGAAAAATTAAGCTCGTTACTTCTCATACAAACTACCATTCTAATTAGAAAAACTAACCTGTCCTTCATGCTCTGCTAAGACATAAGAATCCAACCGTTTTTTACAATCCTAGAAAATAAACTTATTATCAGCTAATTCTTAAAAATTATGTGTAAACACGAAATTCTAAACCTTACAATACAAGTAAGACAATCCCTGTGCCATGGACCATTCGGGCCAATAACCTAAAGTATAAAGTTAAGAATCAGTCGACTGGAATTAAGTATTCTAACTTAAGTTAGCTTCAAAATTCGTTACTTGTTCAGCCATATATACAGCCTTTTGGCAGCGTGGACATTGTGGAGAACCACCCCAACGTGAAGACATATTTAAAGCTATAAAAGGTTTCGTTAAAAAAAAAAAATAAAAAAAAATAAATAAAAATACACTAATTCTACTTGAAAGAATTATAAGAACGTTGTCGTAAAATTATTCTGCCAATCTCTCATTTAAGATACTTATATAAATAATTCATGCATATCATATAAAGAATTATAAAGATGTATGTTACAGTATTAAGGGGAAATTTTATTATCGGTAAAATCTTTATAGTTAGTCCAATGCAGGGAACGTTACACGGGTTGGACAAATTTGTAGATATTCTAGATGCATTTTTGGATGATGATTTAATTGTCAAATGTTTGAATTTTTTTTAAATTGTACCCCGGGTTCAGGCTCTTATCGTAGACCGCAACTGTACATATCACGTGAAATGTACTTTAAAAAAATTTTATTTATACATGGGGTCTAGGATAATAACCTAAACCCGGAGTCTAGCATAAATTTGCCCTTTTTTTTTAAAAGCATGCAAAATGTCATTAACATTGGAACATGTACGAAGGAAATCTCCCGAAAAACCTAGACATAGGGTCAAGTTTTCAAACGAGAACACGAAAGATCTGCAACCTTCTGCTCGAAAGAAGGTCAGGAAATTGTCAACAAAGCAAAAGTTGATCAAAGAAAGTTTTGAACTTCGCAAGAAATTTGAAGAGTTATCTTCAGAATGGCAAGAAAAGTTATTCGATACCGTTGATATAAACGTTTTGCGAGAATCGGTATATGGATTTTTTTTTTTTTTTCAAGTTCACTTTTATTGGAATTATAAAATAATTGATCAGGAATATTACGTTCTCTTAGGCAAAGTATTTGTTACCGCAGCATTATTTTGAGATTGTTGAAGAAAGGAATGCAGATAACTTGTGTGGGTACCCGATTTGTAACAAAGATCGTCAAGTACATAATATTTATTTGCTTTCTTTCTAATTAAAATTTATGATCACATTTTTATTTGATTGCTCATGTTGCTATTTGATTACAGGAAATTCAAGGACAATTTAGAATTTCTAACCAAGCAAGGAAAATTTATGACATTTCCGAGTTAAAATGTTATTGTTCAACTGTGTGTTTTACGTCTTCCAAATTTTTTGTAACACAATTATCCGATGAACCTGTATATATGAGAAATTTGGAAAATTGGAAATCAGTCAATGTTATACCATTGGGCGTAGATTTAAGGTATTTGATAGATAGATAATATTACAACCAATATTTCTTGTCTTTATAGGTTACTGATGTATGACCCTTTCATGTAGAGAAATCATTAAGAAAGAAAAATCCCCAACTAACCTACTCATTAAAGAAGATATCAAATCAACTTATGTTAAAGATATGTTTGCTACCCTTCCACCTGCTCCTCCTGGACTGATCATAAAGGAAAAAAATGATAAAGAAATCGAAGCTCCATCCGTGCCAACTTCGACTAATGATGCTAACGCGCATGATGCTATTGAGGGATTTCGTATAGGCTTTCAAGGATTATCGATTTCAGATAGTGATAGTAAGCCAACTACGTTTATATTGTCAAAGGATGAACAAGTCGCTAAGAACAACGCGTCAAAAACTGACGAAGATTATGAAATGGCAATGTCGCTAGCCAATTCTATGTTTCGTAATGGAAAATTTCATTATCAAGATGATGAAGAGCATCAAATTGTTTCTGATAATATGATATCTAATTCAAATTCAATAAAGACAATTGATTCCATAAAAAATTATAATGAATTAGTTGATCAACCAACATCTATTGAATATAAAGGTTCTCGGGATTATTTGGATGAATATTCATCTAAAAGTCTACAGAAATCGAATAATTCACAACCACCACTTTCACCTGAAAAGAAAGCTCGTAAAAAGAAGAGAGTCATGTTGCAAATGTCATTATTTGGCAAAATATGGACAGCTTTGGATAGAATGTCCACGCCAAATACAAGACGATATTTTGAGAGCATAAATGGACAATTCGTAGAAGGCAATGGTGCGATTCCTTGGCGTCAACCCATAACGAATGAGAATGCGTTAATGAGAATTCAAATCTTTTCCGAGAAAATTATTGAATGGTTTGTAGTCGTGAATTTTCCAAATTCTAAAAAAATTTATCGAACTTAAAATTATTTTTTTTTTTAAAGTTTTCATCTTCTCAGAAAACATCTTGCGATTACTACCGGTATAGAACGTGAACTTATCAACCTAATGAGCACCTTTACATTTGACACTACAACAGTTGTGTTTAATGATTTAGAAAATAATGTATTATGTATGGTATTTTTATACGCGTAAGTAAAAACGGAAAAAAAAAATCTCTATAATTACAAAAGTTTTCAACGTAGATTGATTTAACGTAAATTCTATGAATTAAAATTCCTTCTAGGTTGTCAATGGATATAACTGAACTGCGTGAAAATATCTTTCCCGAAAATTCATCATCCAAGAAGGATGAAGAATATCAATTCAAAACCATACTTAAAAAAATGAATCTCACGATTGAAGAATTAGATGCATTTGTAAGAGTGCTTCGTATTGGTCCAGTCTAACAATAATACGGTTGTTCTACCAAATCCGTTTTTATAGGTTTTTACTATTTAAATTTAAAATCTTAATATTGTTGAATTTTATTACATTTATCTTTGAATGTAACAATGCATATGTAAAAAAGTTAAAATATTGGAAAATTAATTGCTTTCATCGCACTTTCAACAAATTGACTCCAACCCGCTTCTTTAGATTCTTGAATTACTATAAATTCAACTATTCTTTGGATCAATTCATCGGTTTGTACGATTTCTTCATGTTTTCCTTTTAAAGAAGTTTCAATTTCGACAATTTCGGCACCAGAATCTTTAATATGTTCAAAATAATTATTTGATTGATCAATACCAACAAGTTCATCTTCTAAACTATGAATTATCAGATAGGGAGGAATCTTTGAATTAATGTTAATATATTGTGGTGAAACAGATTTTAAAATAATTTCATCAGCGCCAAAAGCTGGTTTAACAAATTCGATATATTTGGGATAAGATTTTAATAAATTCACGAGATCATAAATTCCTTCAATACCAATGACACCACGAATTTTTGCTAAAAGGTTAGGATCATGAGAGTTAAGATATTCAGGATCTAATATAAGTTGGCCAGAAATGAAAGCTCCTACGCTATTACCAACGAGGTATATTCTATCATCACGATATCCATATTTGTTTGCATTTAAAGATATCCAAGAGATTGCCGATGCTACATCTTTTACATGTAAAGGATTTTTTATTTCGGGTGTATCTTTTGTTGTAAGACGATAATTTACGATTGCAACAGCGCAATTCCCTAAATGTGATAATCCTTGACCTAATTTTATGAATTGATTCTTATCACCAGTACGCCAAGCACCTCCATGAATGAAAACTACTACAGGAGGATAATACACTGTTTCAGTTGTTGCTGGTATTGAATGTGGAGGAAGATATAAATCAAGTTTTTGTAGTAAATTTGGTGTCGAAACATAAGAAAGGTCTTGATGTACGTTTGAAGTTGTATCAGACGACATTTTGTTAGAGTTTTTGTTAATGAGTTTTATAGAAAAGAATGGCCGAGAAGCTTAACGTTAAGTCAAATTCTGTCGATCAATTGCGTGATCAAACAGGTTTTCGTGAGCTAATAGTCCGTGTTTATCTTCAACACCCACTTTCTTTTCTGTTCCGTCTAAAATATCATTTTACTCCAAAAAATTTTGAACTTTTAACATTTTAATATGACTCGCAAAAATAAAAAGAAGTCTCCCTCTAGTCGACGTTGGTCATTACTTCGTCTAAGGGAACGCAGAAGTGAAATGATTTTTCAAGGTGAGACGTGTAGACCTAAGAATAGTCCTAAACTGGAAGGCTGATAAAAATGGAACGCGCCTGGTGGATATATGCAACCCATGCCGTCAGCTGAAGTGGACTGACAGTGAATTTAATTTGATTGCAGCTTTTTCTTATGTCTTACATCAAACTGTAGGTTCATGTGTAAAAGTTCAAGAAAATCGTCAAGAAATGACTTGCAAGGAAGAGATTCACCAAGAAGTTTTGGATTTGCGTCAGGAGAATTTATCATTAAGAGAACAATTATCTACTTCTTCGAATCAGACTGCTAAATCAACTGAGCTTTCTAATCTTTTATCCCAAGAACGTAATAAGTATCAAAAACTTCAAGAGAAGTATAGTCGACTTTATGAAGATTTTCAATTTGTTTGTCAAGAGGCGAACAGTAATATGGAGATCTTGGAGCAATTACTCTAGATCAGCTGGTTCGAAATGACAATTTTGAGTAAACCTGAAGTATACTTTTCCTTTTTTTTCTCAATAAAATTCTATATTTACTGTGGTTTTTGTCCTTTAATAATATAAAATTGTTTAATAATAAATAATGAAAATAATAAAACTAAATAATAATAATAAAAAAATAAATAAATTAATAATATAATAACAATAAATTTTCTATATTATGTCTTAAAAAAATTAAACTATAGTAGAATTAAAATGGTTTATATAATGATATTCAACAGTTTTCAATTTTAATTAGAAATAATGTTATATTTTGATTGATAAAAATCTGATATATTATTTTTAAAAATATAATAAATTTGTTTAGCAGCTCTTAATCTAATAAAATTATTATTATTTCTTGATATATAGGGTTTAAGCGAAAGTATGAATATTTAAGTCAATATACATTTTTCAAATGCATAAGAAAAAAGAAATCTTGATAATACATGTCTATCCACACAAATAGTAAATCACATTATTTTATTATATACATTTTTTTGGCCCAATACACACATAGAAAAATTTAAACTGTTTACTATCTTAAACATATTAAAATAATATCCTTAAAATTAATGTATACATGCATTGAGTAAAAAATAAAAAGAAATTTCATATAAAACAAGCATAGATCTTGAAGTTATATAGAAATCTCTTTTGATAAAAAAAAGCATCTTTTGTTAGGCGTTTATGACCTTTATATAAAGCCTAATAAAACACGTTTGTATTTTTCTTAGTCCTAGCTTTTCAAGATAAGACGTTTTTTACAGCCAATATTAATTTTGAAAAGTCTTTCATAGTCTTTGGGATCTCAATATCTTGTAGATCCATGGTAAGGATGATATTATCAAAAAGATACTTAGTAACAGATATTATCAGGTGAAATCCATTCAATTAAATGCTATAGACTTCAATGTCTTTAATGTTATCTTTAGATATGAAGGAAAGTATGAAAAACAGAACTGTTAGTATGAATTTTGAATAATACTTTAACTTTTAAAGATCACTAATTTTCTTTTTACAAGTGTTTAGAATTCCATCTTCTTGAGCTAGTAATTCAGTATCTAGGAATTACAGAAAACTTATACCATCAAGTTTAAGAGTATTACGTCTAGCAATATTTAATATTTCTTTAAGCTTGTCATAAGACTTTAATGTTAATTTACTACAACTAGTTTAAAATCTGTTTTTCCTAAGAATGTATTTCTTAGTAATGTAATTCATACATATGCATTAAATTCATATTCAAATATAAATTAGAGGAGAATGTCATTTTTATATGAGTAAAAGAAATGGGTGAAAAGGTTTTGTACATAAACGAGATCATTTGATGATATGAAGTAACTAATTTAAATTTCATCTAGGTATCTTTCTAAAGAATCCAAATCTGATATATGATCAAACTTATTTAAGAACTGCAAAACGTTATCATTACAGTTGACTAGAAATTTATCAATTCCTTATTCTTCACTAAAATTTACAGTTTTAAAACTGATTAATAATAAATTGTTTAAAATCATATAATAATACTTTATACATTCAGTATTATAAAAGTTGATAATACCAATAGATAAAGAACTTTTTTAATCCCTTTTATTGAGTAAATAAAATTTAAAATATCTATATCATTATATGTTAACTTCTCATTTACTAAGACATGCACTTAATATATTTTGAAAGCTTTTTTTATTATACTAAAAATAATATATTTACTTCTTAGCTTTTTATCCTTCACTTCTTCTAAAGATGTATTTGATTTAATATTCTTATTCATATTATTTTCAAGCTTGATGGAAGTTATAAGAAAGAAATTTATAAGATTAACAGGTATAATTTCAGATTTATATGATAATAAAAACTCTTCATTTTCAATTATTAGAATGGCAGATTCTTTATCATTAAATATTTCTATCTGTATACCTGAAATAAGGGAAGGTATTTTGTTACAAATTATTATTTAAATAATAAAAAATATCTTATTATCTGGGATTTATTATTTAGATTTATCATTCTTAACCTTTTTTATTAACAGTTGAAATTTATTTAGCAATACTTCTTCTTCATTTATTTTTCAAAAGAATTTTTTAATTATTTTAATTATTTCGTATATAAAACTACATTCTATAACTTCATGTATTGCTTGTGAAGATTAAATCATTAAATAATTAGTTAGCAATCTATCTCGTTTCAACTAAAAATATAAACATACTTTATTAAGTGAGGCTTTTACACTTAGTTAATACAATTTATAACTGATTGATTATGTCTACACTTATTAAAAAGAAGCAATATAATATACTAATTTATTCATTTAACAGTTAGTGATGAAAGTTTCATTTATCTCAAAAAAAACTAATAGATAAATCATTTTATTATAATTAGAACTATTTCTCTTATCCCTGATTATTACGAAAAACTCTCACAATTTTTCTTTGACAAATTTTTGTGAAGTATGTGAGAAGTTGAGTGCTTTATAGAAGTCTTCTGGCTTTAGATCTTTAAGATTATTACGTATCCAATCTAGCATCATAGTATTATACATTTAGAAAAATAGGAACTGTTATTAAATTTGAAGTGATTTTTACGCTAATATAGGAAAGATCAACAAATGCGTGAATTACATAATAAATAATCTTTACAAAATAATAAGACTGCGATCAACAAAGAAAAGTCTGCAGCTAACAAAAAAAAGACTGTAACTAATAAAGAATAAACTGCAACTGGTAATAAAGATCAACATTATTTAAATAATATTAAGTTTATTATATAATTATTTAACATATAATTATCCAAAATAATAAAGAATAATAAATACATAATGTTTGCAATTCCTTATTCTGTTAATCTATCACATTTTATTTCTCTGAAAAATTGTATATAAGCGATGTCTTATTCTGAAATAGTAATAAAGAAAATGTTAATAAATAAAAGATATTAGATTAGATTTATAAGATCAGATAAAATAACAAATAAATACCTTAAGAATCCATAAATTTTTCATTTAAAATCAAACCAAATTATACTAAACTAAATGAATAACCAAATTGTTAACCCTAAGATACTCATAAAGTGCAACAGTAAAATGAGAAAAACCTGTGAAGAAACTGAAGCACGTCTTACATGAGATGCTTTAATAAAATGCAAAAATAATAAAATAGATGAAACTCATGAAACACATCTTGAAAGCGTTCGAAAAAGAAGAAACCAAAGAATATTAATAGAAATAGCTAAAAACTGTATGTGTTGTCTAAGTGATAAAAGTGATTATAAGTAAGCTACGCATAAAAGAGCTAGTAAAGTGCATCAAGTAGATACTGAGCAAAATCAAAACTCAGTTACAACTATCAGTGAAGAAGAATACTATTTACTGCAAAATTTTCATAAAAAATGAATAATATATATTATAAACTTTTTGAAATATATAACAAAAAAATACTATTTATAACGCTCGTTATGAAAATATGCTAATATTATTATACAGAAAGGGTATTTTAGACTTGTCAAAAGAATCTTTAGAAGAAAATCCAGATGACTCAAATGAAGTATAAAATTTACCAAAGAGATTTTTAGCAGGAAATAATATGAATTCAGGTAAAATATCAGATGAACTTAAAAAACTTATCAAAATTAAAGAAATGCTTATAGCATAAGTTTTCATAGAAATCTCAGTATATCGATTTTGAGAAAAACAAAATAGATATAGAGGTAACTTTTTCTCAGGATATATATGACTTCACAAATAAACTTTCACAGAATCCTTTAAGTTTAAATGTTCTTATTATATGGCAGTAATCATCAAATAATTCAAGTGCATTCAGAAACTTTACAGTATAAAGAGGTAAAGTTTGCAGTATTCTATTATAGTTAAAAGAAAACAATCTTTACTATAATAATATAATAATTAATAATAAAGTTCTTCAATCCCTACTAGAAGAAGAATCTATTTTTAACAGGATCTCACAACTTTAAGATAAACAAACAGCCAACAATTTAAATAATAATAATAAAAATGAAGATAAAGCAATATCGAGAAAATTTGTACCATTACTTCTACTAACACATTGAGAAGAGATCATTATAAACGAAACTCTAGATCAGATATAAATGATAAATCTCTGATAATATAACTAGAAATTGGATTTTTTATAAGCAAATTTCAGATGTTCAGTTATATAGCGAAAGCATTTCTAACGCTTTACCCATATGATAAAGCTAATCTTTGTTCAGAACTTGCAAGGAAAATTAAACCAGCTGAGTATTTCAAACACCTATTATTGTATAAAGATAAGAGGTTCACAAGTCATTCAAGATAGAGGTATTTCACATTAAACTTAACTATAAGATAAAAGGCATTACAAGAAGGGCATATATATATTAAGTAAAACCTAAATGACAGAATAATTGATATTACATATATCAGAAAATGATAGCCAATGGATACAAAAATCTAGTAGATCAGATTATAAGATATAGAGAAAATTTGCGTAAAATACGTCAATTTTAGATAGTGTAATAATAAGAACTAATAGATATAATCAAAAAAATTGAACATTAAGGCCTAATATTCTTTACCTTTAACATAGCAGATTTATACTAGTCCAAACTTCATAAATTAATACCAAGTGACAATCAAGAAAAAGAAAATAATTAAGATAAATAATGATAACAAAATATCATCGATAACTCATACATTGCAATATAATTCTTTAATAAGAAGTTTGAGAATTTCTTTAATGATGTATTAATAAAGCGATAAGATCTCAAGGATTGGTAGTATTATTTTGAGTGGTAGTATAGAGGAAGCATATATGTGTATAAAATTAGAAAGAAGTAACATACACTTATAATTGATTAGAATAATATGAAAAATGATGAAGACAAAATGAAAAAAGTGATAAAATATAGTTATCACTATTAATTTGAAAATTGATGCACCTATATCAGAATAACATCCTTATCAAAAACACAAAAATGAAATTAAAAACAATAAGTAAGATTATATTGAATTAATCAATAAGTTGCAATGTTATACACATTATGACCCTTTATATTACCTTCATATTAATAGAAGAATAGGTCAACAAACGTGCAAATTCAGATATCCTAAAAATTACATGGGAAAAAAATAATGACAAAAAAAGTTAAATCACTAAAAAAAGTTAAAGTTTAACTTGCTAATTATACATAATCATATGTTATGTTTAATGAGTGACACGCTTTTAGAGATTACCTATTATTTTATAGGGTTAGAAATACTATAGTTTTTTCCCTTTAGGAAAAAATCATAATATTCTTAATCCCTTATGAAATAAATAATACAAGTCTACTAAGCAGAAGGTAAACAGTTTCTGCTATCTTATTTACTGAATTAATACAGAAGATAAATAGAATCCTTTCCTATATTAAAAAGAGAATATTACCTAAAAATTTATCTAAAGAATCGATCAAAAACTGATTACAACCAATTAAATTTTAGTTATTAAGGCTAATTGAATTAAGACTGAAAAAAACAAGAAGATATTTGCTAAAGCAGTTAGTTGTTGAATTTGTAAAGATAAGTTTGATATAAATATAAATGAAATTAAATGATTAGAAAATAAAATAGTTAGTCTTAAGAAAAAATTAGAAAATTTTAAAAAATATTAATCTCAAAAAAACCATTTAGCAGAATATAATAGTATCCAAATAATTATTGATAAAGTAATTAAAGTAATTGCTTATATAAAAGCTAAAATTAATAAGATTTAGAATCATTATTATATTATAGGTAAGTTTTGAAGAACAGCTTAAAACTTATATAATCTTAAACTTCAGATAGAACCTTGGAATATTTTAATATCAGTTATCTTTCATATTATGAACAATAGTTTAGCCAATCTTGCAAAAATTTGAAAAATAATAAATTTATAATAAAAGCTAATTTTAAGAATTTTATATTTAAGTAAAATTGACTTAGTTACTTATAAAGGAGTTTATCCCTATAAGCATACTGATTCTCATAATAGGTTTAAGAAAACAGAATTTTTATTTATTTATAAATTTTATAGTGCTCTGAAAAAACAATTACACTAAAAGATTACATTCATGCTCAGAATATATACCAATCTATATCTTAAGACTGATATTCTTCTTCTTACAAAATCTAAATAGAGTTTTTAAAAACATGTATGCAATATTATAAACTTGATCACAGCCACTATGTTTTAATATTATTATTATCTTAAAATACTATACTTAAGATAATAAGAATTAAGATTGAACTTTTTACAAAAATAATTATACATGACTTTATTAAAAAGCCAAAAAGGTTGAATATTATGACATACTAATAATATTTCAAGACTAATAATTTTAAAATAAATAAGGCATTCAACTTATCTAAACTTATATCATAGATTTTATATATATATGTAACAAATCTTTACAACTGAATTATGAATTAATACTTGCCTATTAGAAACTATAAATAGAAAACAAATTAAAAATATCTAATAAAGAATTTAGTTATGCAAAAGAAATACCTTAAAAAAATTCTTAAAACTAAAGCAAATGTATCACAGGAATATTTTTTAAATATTAAGACACATTTCTCTTTAAAAACTCATGAATATTTACAAGACTTAATATTTATAGCTATAAGAAAAAATATGCTATATTTTTATACTACTAAATTTATAGATAAAATAAATGGAAAGTGCTTTACAGCTACAGAAAAACTAGTTTCTCATTATAAATTACAAAAGGATTATATTATCTATTATCAAGAACTTTAATACTATATAAATTAGGTATAATAATAGATAAGGTTACAGAAATTCTATCATTTAATTAGACTAACTGACTTGTATCATATATTGTATTTAATACTGACAAGAGGCTAAAAATATTTTTGAAAAAAACTTCTTCAAATTTATGAATAACTCAGTATATGGCAAGACTATAGAAAATATTTGAAAATATCAGGATATTAAGCTTATAAAGATGAATAATAAAAGGAATAAGAAAAAATTTATAAATAAAGTTTATAAATCATACTTCAAGTATAATAAACAACTTGAAAATACACTTATAGGAATGCATATAAAAAAGGCTAGTATGATTCTTAATAAATTTATAATATTTAGTATATTCATCTTAAGTTTTAGTAAACTTTATATATATAAATTTTAGTATAGATATATAAAAGAAAATATGAACATAAAGTTCATCTCAAATATATGAATACAAATTCTTTTATATATCAAGTTAAAACTAAGAATATTTATAAAGATATGATTAAATAATCTGATCTCTTTAATCTCAGTAAGAATTCAACTATTAGTAAATTTAAGGATGAGATATTTGATAATATAATCACAGAGTTTTATCATATTTAAAATAAATCTAATCACTATGTTTTAATTGATAAAATCACAATATTTAAGCATAAGAGAATCAGTGAAAAAGGCATAAGTGAAATGATTAAGAAAATATATTTAGAGAATAAGTTTCTTATGATTCAAGTATATCAGGATTATTTTTTCAGAAAAAAAGTATTCTATATTAAGAATATAAGAATTTGATAAAAGGATTATATATTATCTCTAGTCAAATCTAAGAAAAAGACCTTATATTCTATAAATATTAAGCATTAAATATTAACAAATAGCATTATATTTTTATCATATAATTATTAACGTATCATGATGATAAAATATAATTAAAGATAATATATCTTATGAAATAATTGAAAAAAGAGCTATAAGGGCTAAGCTTTTAGAAAAGTATTTAAATAGATATATTTCTTCCTTACAATGTTTGTGATACTTTAACTAACTCTAAATTTAATCTATATAGAAAATATGGTAGTTGATGCTATGTGATCCAAAATTTTAATAGGTTTTAATAAAAGACTTTAGGTACTTATTTAGAGGTTTGATAGGTTAATCTTTTTCAAAAATTTATACTTAATCCATATTTATTTTATATTTAAGATGAAATTTTGTGATCCTAAATTTGCATAAAAGAATTGGCTTTAAAATAATTTTTTATATATTATGAAATTACTGGTATGCTAAATTTGGATTATAGTTTTTTGCTTTACTTTTTACAGTCAACTCTTATTATAACGAACTCTATATCCTAGACCTCAACTTCGCTATAAGGCTATAGTGAAGATTTTAAGAGATTTGATTGGCCAATTCGCTATAACAAGAGTATTTTTATTATATTTGTTCAAAAAATTCGTTATATTAAGAGTTCGCTATATCAAGAGTTGACTGTACATATTAAAAATTTACATTTAATCCAAAAATTATACTTATGCCTAAAAAATTTTACATTTAACCCAAATTTTTGTTTTAGTGTTTATGAAAATGAATCAGTTTTAAAATGCTTTTTTATATATTAAATTATTGATATACTATTTAAGAGCTATAGCTTTTAAACTTTATCAATTATATATAAAATTTTAACCTTTATTTATATTAATAAATCACTTTTAGAATTAATTCTAGAATATCATAAAAATTAGTATACAAATAAGATTTATAGAAACTTTACAAGTTAATTTTGAACACTTTAATTTTTGCTAAGCTTGTGTCATCTTAAGCTTAAACTGAATGATATATTTTTTTATAATATTCTGATTGGATTTTAAATTAGGTTAGAAATGAATTTAATTAATATAGTTTTTAGATTTAAAAAGCTTTTAAAATTAATTCCTGAATCAATATAGTTCTTAAGTTTGAAGAACCTTTAAAATCAATTTTTAAGTAATTATAAAAATTAAGATTCTAGAATTACTTTAAGCTATTCTAATATAATAAATAACATTGATATAATTCTTAAATTTGAAAAGCCTCTAAAATTGATTTCTGAAATTTTATTTCAGAAAAAAATCATTATAGTTTTTAAGTTTGAAGAGTCTCTTAAATCAATTTCTGAAAACTGTTTTAGAACTTCCAAAGTATTCTATATATATAATTATCAAGAAAAATTTAAAACCTACTTATAGATGCCTGCCGAAACCTCCTCAAAATAATTTCGTCATACCCTTTTCTATGTTTTTAATATAGTTTCGACAGTTTCGGCTTTCGTCGTATCGAATGGGTTTCGTCGTATCTCTTATTATGATTTTTAATATAGTTTCGTCTAAGTTTCGACTGTTATTAAGGGGTTTCGTCCCTCATCTATAAACTTACTAAATTAAAATCAATGATTAAATTAACAGATTTATCAAATAAACAGTAATAATTACAGAAGCAGTTAGATTACAAAATAATACTTTAAATAAAAAATTATTTAAATGCTAATGTCTTAATATACTAATCCTAATTATAATACAATAAAATATTTTTGTAAAAAGAAAATTTAGCCTAAAATGACAAATATTATCCTGTTAAAATCCTGGAATTTATTCTTTATAATAGTAAAAAGAATAATAATAATAATTAAATTTAAAAATAGCTTTTATATTTTAATTAAATTTGCATAAATTATTATTTTAATTATTTAGTAAATTTAATAATATTTTAAATTTATAAAATAAAAAATATTATATAAATAGTAAATAATTTTCATTATTTTTAAATTTAAATTTAAATTTATTGGATATAAAATATTTATTGTTTAATTTAAAAAAATAACATTTGATTTTATAATTTTAAAATTTAAATTATATAAAGATTAAATTAGAGAAAGTTAACTTGAAACATCACATTTCATCTCAATTTTAAATTTGGACAATAGTCACTGCATTCTTAGTTTCCAATTTATCCATTTTAAATTGAGACAATAGTCAACTTGTATACTTTTCCAGTTTCAAATTTTAAATTAGGGCAATAGTCAACTTGGAGTACTGCATTCTTAGTTTCTAATTTGCTCTAATTTTAAATTTTAAATTGAAGTAATAGTCAACTTAGGGTATCGCGTTCCTAGTTTTTAATTGTAATTAAGACAATTATCAACTTGGGGTACTGCATGTTCCAATTTCCAATTTGTTTCAATTTTAAATTGGGGCAATAGTCAAGTTGGAGCACCGCATATCTCAATTATCAATTTGCCTTAATTTTAAATTAAGGCAGTAAAATTGCATTACCCAAATTTGAAATTTCAAGTTGGATTGCCCAAAATCGAAATTTGCATTTGGGATAGATCATTAACTTTAAGCACAACACATAAATCTGTAAAATCAGCGACATAGGTTTACCACATCACTGAAATATAATTTTTAATTGTATTTCGTATATTAGCATGTCTGAAAGTGCTAATTTAATGCCATTCGTCTGTAAATGGTTAGGTACTCATTCAAATCCACAACACTTTGAAACAGAAGAGAAACTTAGAAACTATATTATTCAACATGACATTAATTCTTGCAAAAGATCAATTTTAGAAGATCTAATTTATATATGTTAATGGAAAGGTTGCTATAAATATCAAAGTAGTATTATTAAACTAATAGGTATAAAAATATGTCAAGTACTTTTTAGCTTTGCTTGCTCCATTCTGTAGTAATAACAATTATTATTGTATTTTGCAGAGCATTTACTTCAACATACCTAACAAAAACCATTCAAGGTAATTAATATTTACCTGTTTAATAAGTATAAAGGTGACTGAAATAATCACATTGATCATTTTTCTTAGTGCTCAATTTGCAATCGTTTATGATTTTGTTCTTCTAATGCATTTAATTAACACTTGATTATGAAAGCGTTGTGGACTTTGATACCGATGGTGAAAATGAAAAATTGAATTTAGGTATATTACTATAATTCTCTCTAATCTAGCGTAAATTATAATTAGAATTTACATTGAAGATGAGCTAAACCACGTATCTTTAATTAATAACAAATATTATCAAACTATTAAAAAACTATCCTTGTTAAATATACATGATAAATTATATTTTTTCTTGTCTTAACATATTTTCTTTTCTATTTAAAGGAAAAGTCAAAGATAAAAATGATGTTTGTGAGAAGAAAGAGGTCAGCAAAGATGAAAAAAAAATGAAATTATACCAATAATTAATACCAAAAAATCATCTTATTGTGATGTTCTTGTTAAAGGAAGAGTCAATGAAAATAAAAACACGGAGAATGAAAAGGTCGTGATCGATTTATCTTATCAAGATATTCTCATTAAAGAAAGAGTTAATGAAAATAAAAATATGGAGAATTTTAATTCTTACTAATGTGAAAAAATCATGTGGGATTTAATAAATAAAAGGTTTGAAATTATCTCATTATTACCGGAGAGTCCAATTAGTAAATATAATTATGATAATGACGATAATTTACCCATTGCATCACGTGAAGAGAAAAAATTGACTAAGATCAAAGCAGACGAATTTATGCTGAAGGCAGTTTGTAGATTTTACAAGATTCAGAAGCTGGCGAATATTTTACTAAAACCTTAGAAATGATGAAGACAAATCTTGAGCATAGATATATTATTATTTGGTCACATTTATAGCAGTAATTCTTAAATATTTCCTTTAATAATTTAAAATTTTATAAATTTATTACGTTAAGGTGTTAAAAACTAGCAAACATGAAATAGAGATAAAATATAAACATTAGTTTCATCCATAAAACTATCTCACGCATTTTTTAAATGCTCCCAAAAATCTTTGAATAATCAGGAGCTATTTGCGATAACCCGAGAACTCTATACACTGCTTATAAAGTTGTTTGCAGTTGTTCTCTTTAGTTCATCTTTATTGATTCTTTTATTTTGACGTACTTTATATCGAACAAATACAGTTAAATCTTGTAAGCTCGTTCCCTCACTTCTAAGTACATTAGCAAGTCTTTTCCTAATATCTTTGACTTTAGATACTTGACCATACAAATGATAAAAGCTCTCGAATTTTCTATCATCTAATAACCCATTATTGTAGCGTTCTAGTATGATAATGTACCATTTACTAATAGTATGGTAAATATCGTTTATAGCTTTGAGTTCTTTCTTGTCAGAATAAGGACCTAGCGATAATTAAATTTAAGTTTAACGTAGCTAAGTATCTCTATTAAGCAAAAATATACATATTTTTTCTGTACTTATCGACTATTATCAAAGAATTTTCAGATCAGGTCCACAAATCTTGAAAAAGATCAGAATATTTGATGAACGAACCTTGAATCTTATACTATATAACAGTGTCAATTTGATCGATTTAAATACTATCATTTCTTTCAATAATTACACAGCTATATATGATAATTATACTTTGGCCATGGAGTAATTTGCAACAGCAAAGGTTTAATTATCTGAACTGATAATTATAATGTAACTTACAGACTATCGTCGATAACTCCTACAGTTACTATGAGCATTATAATGATTGGTGGATTTTGCCACTTCATGGCAAAATATTGCTTACCGTTAATTATGAAGTAATTTCTGATAACCTGTTGAAGTTACTATCAATACATTCACCATTTGTTTTTTTGATAAAATCTCGTTATTTAATAATAAAAAAGGTATAAAATAATTTATCAATAAAAATAGATCACAGTAAAGACTGTAATTATCCAGTACGAAAATTGCATGATTTGATATATGTGATGTAACTGTGGAAGATTTTGTATTTACAGTGCTTTAGTAAAAAATAATATGCATTATTGAATCTTATTAATCGTTAAACGGATACTGTAGACTCACTAACTATTCAAGCAGGTGCATAATGAAAATGTCAGATCAAGTAGGATGAGTTCTACAGTTTTCTCTTATAGCGGATCATCTTCAAAAGTTGCCAAGAAGTCACCATCAAGACCAGTAATGCATATCCTTTTCTTTTTATAGAATGCGAATATTATTAGTGTCATAATTAATTATGACGGCAATTCAGAAGAACAAAAGCCAGAGTTAGTTAGTTTTTTAATATAGGATAGCATTTTAAAATTTTAGCAAAATTTAGCATTATGAAACTTATCTATTATTTTTTTTCATATCTGTAAATGTTAAAATATATTCTCTGAAGAAACTATGTTAATATAATAATATATTTTTTATTAATATCACTTGTAAAATATACATATTTAAAAAATTTGAAATAAATCTTTATTTTTTTGTAAAGTAATACATGAGAAAGGGCCTGTCGGCTAAGAAAAATGAAAGTAAAAATTGATAGAGTAGCAGGGTTTTTCAAGGGAGGAATTGCCAAGCCCCAAACTTTATAATAGCAGTTCTTTTAGTATTATTATCTAAACTACCACTAAATTCTTTTACTATCTACTCATCTCTTAATTAATATTAATATTCTAAACTTTGGATCTCCTATATTATAATAAAAGTGTTTCAGTTCCTTTTCTTAGTAAATTTACGAATTTAATATTTCACAATTTCAAACACATAAACTATAATTAGTATTTCATAAAATCAGATCAGATCAGATTTTATCCAAATCTGATCTGATCTGATTTTTATTTTTCAGAATCTGAATCTGATCTGAATCTGACATCATTTTTATCTTTGACTTTTCCTTTAAATAGAAAAG